AACATGTGGACAGAGACAGAATTTCATTTTAAAACTCTCCTAAACATTAATGTGCTATCCTACACAAAACAAAAGGCTATGAATGTAAATGAATGGAGTTCAATAGACTAATATATTATATGTTTTAGCATCAGTGTAGTCATCTTGCTTTTCTTAGGAAAGTGAGGTATACCCCTGCACTATTATGGTTATGGAAAATATAAAAAAAGTGGTTCTAAGATTCAGTCTGGGATTAGGTCTTGACAGAGCTGACAACTGCAAGCCCACTGGGTTATACAACCAATTTTATTTAGATTTTTTTCTACTTAAGGGAGAAACATGCCCGTCCATTCGATAAATACTAGGGGTGTAACGAAATATCGCAGAACGAAATTTCGCGATACAAAAATGTTACGAAATGTATTGTAGAGTGGTGGCGAAACGTTTACAAAATGACGCCAGTCTGATCCTATTGATTCAGAAGCCGACGTGACCCACACTGCAGCAACGTAACGTGCGCGGCCACAGTTGCAGAAATCGCTTGAACTAAAGGCAAGTAGGCAGCATGAGTTTGGATAGAATACAAATTGAAGATGCACCGTCTTCATTTAAATCTGTCTGGCAGCGTTTTGGCTTTCCTGTTGCGCAACAGAATGACTGTAAAAAGTTTACAGATAAAACACAAACGGTTTGTAAACATTGTAATACAAAGCTGCCATACACAGCATCAAACACTTCGAATATGATGTTCCATTTAAAATGGCATCACAACAACAAACTTTTGCAAACCCCCGCAGCAAAAAGAGTAAAAGAAGGTCAAACGTCAATACAACGCAGTTTTGCAGCAACATGGTCTCAGTCGAGTGCAAAAGCTCAAGAAAGACAGACATGTTTAGTTGTTTATTTGAATACAGAAGGTTTTTATTAAACCTTAAAATGTGATCTTGTGTGTACAACAAAGAAAGCTAATAAAATTTGCTAATGTTTTTGAAATAAATCAGTTTTTCAGATTTTTGTTTCAATTGCTTAAAATATTGTGATACATATTGTATCGAGAACACAGTATTGTGATGTGTATCGTATCTTGACCTGGGCATATCGTTACACCCCTAATAAATACTGTAGACCCATGAATACTCACACTTACCTCTCTTCTGGTTCCAGTCATGCGCCTCCTCTAGAAGTGCAAAATCAAAACGATATCCATTTTTTTCAACAAAGTAGTCATCTGTGCTCAGTATAACCCCATTGGAACCAGTGGACAGGAGCTCTCTGGAAGACATAGAGGCAAAGCATGTAGATCTCCAACAAACCTTGAAAATCCAGGTAAATCAGTCATTCTTGAAACTCTACCCACCTTCCTAAAGTAGATTTTCCAGATCCAGGAACTCCCCTCAACAGTATTAGCACTAGAGGGCTATTAGTAAACTGATTGAAATGATCTTGCTGCTCCCAGTGTGATAAAGGTCTTTCGTGTTGCTCAATGGACCTTGGATGCTCCTGTGCCTGGAGACCTTTTGTTTCATAGCATCTGCCTGAGTATAGAGGAGGCCCTTGCCATGGGCCCCAGTGGCTGTTACCATTCTTTTGAGCACTGTAGAAATTCTCTTGTGCTGGTGTGTTGGGTAAAAATATAAACGGATCTCCAAAAATTGGAGGAGGATAGTTTACCATTAAGTCTGGGACAGCCCACGATGGAGGAGTATAAGGAGGAAACAAAGGATCGTGATACCGTACTCTATCTACATTAGCATGAAAGTGAGGTCTCCTTTTTTGGAGATTCCATTGACTGCAGTCATGAGGATTGGGGTAAGGTCTGTACCCTCTGCCACGATCAGTCACAACAGGAATGTTTGCTTGGCTTGGCCGGTGTTGTGTTATATTTCGTCTCCCCGGCATATTCCGACTCCCCTCTGCGTGAACGTGCATTCAATCACGTGATTACACAGACTAAGCCGATAAGAGTTCAAATAAAATGTTTACTGGTGAAGACGTTTTCATTTTTATTTTGCTTATATGCTGCGTAGATGTCAAATTTACTTGTAACACATTGTTTAACTATAAATATAATTTTAAAAGAATGCAATCGCCTAAAGCAAGTTGCTTACAGCAGTGAATATTGTAATAATTTATGAATGTACAGCATTATACAAACTTTAAATGTTTATATTTTATTTGTGTATTCATTAGAATAATTAATCTTAACGTAAAAACAAGGATAAAACAAAGTAAAAAATCGTTGATATAAAATAAAAAGCTTTAGATGTTTCTATTTTATTTGCATTAGACTGACTATTTATTTAGAAGATATTTGTTTGTGAAATGTTGTTCAAGCTCCTCAAGCTGAATTGGTTTCAGCATCAAGACTGACTTCCTCTGCTTCCTCAAGCTCTTTGTAAAAATCACAGAGCTCCTTTTCAATGGACCGATAAAAACAGAGCTTGTGACACTCAGCTCTCGAATAACCAGTTCTTTATTAGACTGGCTTGAGTCTGCTGTGGACTTTGGTTTAACTTTACTGATTTGACTGTTGTATTGGATATTTTTTTAAAGCATTTAAAAAATATATATATTTCAATATGTATTATAACAATAAGAAGCACTAACGTGACACTAATGTTTAGTCACTCCACTGCAAAGATGTTACCGCCAATCTACATTTGTTAAATAAAATACAATTTCAAATGACACAAGAGAAGTTGGGGGAAACAAAAGTTCTGGTACTTATGAGTTGGACTGATAGCCTTTGCTCACAACGATCAAAATCAATCTTAAAGCTTTACCTGACGTGTGGAATGCTTAACAGGAAAATATTCTGGTTATTTGATTGTTTTGATGACCGCCATTTACACGAGTAGTGTAGCAAGAAGCCAGCTGCATTAAACGACGCAGACAGAAAAGCGAGAAGCGTATTTCAAAACAAAAGTCTTGAATACAAATGAAATAAATAAATAAATAAATAAATAAATAAATAAATAAATAAATAAATAAATAAATAAATAAACACCTCATGTACCTCAAATACTCAATAATAGGTTAAATTATAAAAAATTTTTTTAAATAATTCTAAACTGTGAAGAGTAGTACGATCTAATATGACACTAAAAGACCACAGAAACCCCTGTATAAATTGCAGACCCATGACAGTCATTAATGACCTGCACAAGAAGTCTCAAAGGTCATTGCTGAATGATCACTGAATATTTTAATAATTTCCATTTATAGTTGGGTTTTCATCTCGACAGCTGAATGTCAATCAAAGATTAGGAAAATATGGGGTAGGAAATGATGCACCAGCAAAAATGACCACATTCTGGAAAGAATTGTCAGGAAAACCCCCTCATGAATTCACTGGGAGTGAACCGAGGCTGATGTTATCATATAAAACATGTACAAATCCTATTCAAATGTATGCTTGGAATACGTTTGGAATTCAATGTAACAACGTCTTGAGAAGAGTGGAGACAATCAATGTTGCTTGAAGTTCAGAGTGATGATTTTGAAGATGAGAGACACCAGTCCAGACCTCATACCATTATCCAAAAAACCCTGGACAGTGCCACAGGCAAATTTCATCTACATCTTTCCACATTTCATGAAAAATGAGTCAGACCTCTTTATTTTCATTATGTTTAAGCTAAAATCATAACATTAAAAGATAAATAAATAATAATAAATACATTTCATGTTCAATGTGTATATTACCAACATACAGAAAAGATTTAAAATGATCCTTACAGGGTATTATACGGCCAATAAATATTTAACACTCCAAAAGGTCAGTGTGCTTAAAGATTTAACTACACCCTTTGTGTGGAGGAGGTGGGAAGTTGGGTCAGTACAACTGCAAATAGATCTTAATAGCATAGTGTGATTTCTGCAATGTGCATATTTCTGCTATACGCATATCATATTTTCATTGTGAAGCTTTCTTTCAAAGCTGGAGAATATTATCCTGCTATAATTATGTAATTTGTAATATTAATATCACTTTAATTGCATTAAAAAAACATATGTACTTATGTTATTTTCATGTATTGTTTGTGAACATACAGGTTATTAATTTATTTTTGCATTTCCTGAAGTGGCTTAAATATATGTCCATTAAACATGAATACACACCATCACAAAATTCCATAGTAAAACATTTTATTAACAGGAGAGTCGTACAGTTTGAATTAAAGTTGATTTCTTTGCTTCCTTCTTTCAGTTTGTTAAATATTACTAAACATTACTATTCTGACCTGTTGTCTTTAAATAAAATAGTTTAATTATGGAAACCTTTTTTTAGTGTTTGTCTTGCTTAGTATTTGAAAACACATTCAAATACAAGTCAAAGCAGTGAACAACAATTGATGAATATGATCAGTTTAACTCAACAGTTGAGTATGGAGTTGGCTCTCAAAATGCTGATGACTTTCCGTGCGTCGTAATTGTACTCAAACTGAGTGTGCTTATGATACAAGGACAGATATCCTGTCAAAAAAACAGCAACACACAATCAGCTTCAAATGGTTCATAAATTCACAAATTGGACAATTATGCAATTGTAAATTATTTTCCACATACCATAATGATAAGCAGCAGCATCCACTTCATCTCCAATCCCAGGAAAATCTTCCTCGATTGATCGTGGGTACCCACTGTCCATAGTAGCCATCTGCTCATCATAACTGGAAATAAGATGCAGCTTATTAAACCAATGTGTTCACATTATCCAAACTATGCATGAATTTAAAAAAAAAAATATCTCTAGGATACCTCCAGTACTCTTCATCTACAAATAATAGAGTCTTGCCAGTATCTCGGATGTTGACAGCTGCATCAATTTTACGAACCCTCTTTGGAAGACCCAGTTTGTGAATATATTTTGGAAAGCCATCAACAATATTGTAGCCGTTTAGAGCCCACATTCTGATACCTGCAATCGTCAAGATTATAAGTGTTTAGTTGTGGTGTTTCTGCTCACGAAAAAGTCCTGTATTAATCCAAATTAAGAAAAAAAATAACAGATTAAATACATATACATGGCTCAGTTGGTAGAGCAATGCACTAATTACGCAAAGGTTGTGGGTTCAAATCCCAGGGAAAGCAAGAAATTACAAAAAATGTGTTCATTCAATCAAATGTAAGTCACTTTGGATAAAAGTGTCTGCCAAATGCATAAATGTAAATGTTAATATATAGTTATAGGTAAAAAAAAACAATAATTAAATATTAAAAATGGTTTCTAAATTTAATGCAGTAACAAAACAATGAAGATATTGTTTGTTTACCACTGAATATGATGACGATATCTTTCTCTGGATTTTCGTAGGCTGCATCTACTTTGTTTGGTATGTCAGGCCAAGTACTTTTGATCAGCGTCTGTTCAATCTCAATCATATTTGGATGAATCCGCCAGTAGAACCTACCAACAGTAGAAAAGACATGACAAACAAACATGTTTAGATGTAATAATAGTTTAATCACCGCTATTAAGTGTATTCACACCGGTCTTTGAAAATGATGGTCTCTCCACGCAGCTCAGTAATGGCATCAAAACTCAGCTCAGGGTCACACTTGTCTGGAGCAACAGGTTTGGGCTTGAACTTTTCATGGTCTGGGTTTTTGCCTGTGAACAAAGTTTAAATCTAAAGTCTTTTGGAAATATGTAGAAGTAAAAATATACCATTACCATATTACTGACCATATAGAGATTGAATCCCCTCAATGTCATCTACAGACAGTGGGAAACCCTGAGCATAGGAGTAAACTGGATACATGAGGGAGCCGGGGTCAGAGGAATGGGCCATACCAAGAGCATGGCCAAACTCATGGGCTGCAACAAAGAAGAGATTGAACTCTGCAAGAGATAGAGCGAGGTGGCTGGTTATGGGCATGGTTAAAACTACAATAAAGCTTAGAAAGGTTTCAAAAATGTACCTTTGATAAGTACACTAGGCTAATAGTAAAACCTGACCATAATCAGCCCGTTGGCAAGTGATTTCGTGAAGTGACAACAATCAGAAATAAACGATGAAATAAACACCTTCTTTTTTGAGTGGTTGAGGTAAGTTTTGTCGATCAAAATATACTTGTATGAATAATAGTGCATATAAAGTACCTATATGTATGACAATGTAGTACTTTAGATTCCCACATTAAAGATGTAAATGTTTAATGTTTAAATGGCTGATAAACTTGACTGAAGATGAAAGTGTTTATAGGAAACTAGTAAATATGTACAAGGTTAAAATATCACTTGGCCACAGGTACCATAAGTGTGAAAATAACACTTTTTTCTTGTCTAGTGTTAATGTGAACTCTCACTGTGTTAATTTAACATTGGTGATGTGTAAATGTAAAATCAAGGAAAGATTGGTCATTGGCTTATCGGTTCATGGCAACACTGACAGATTCCTAATATGATTTGACACTCTTCTGCCAAATTTGGGCTTTGGGCGACTTGATATTCTGTTCCCCAGAATTTTATAACAACTTGACATTTCCCAGACATCTACTATTGTCTCCAAGCTCACACTAATTTAAAAAAATATGCACATAATGGATCAAATAAGGCTTGTAAACTTGCAAATCAAACAACATTTTCGTCAACAGAAGAAAAATGGTCCAAACACTGATAGCTTTGCTAAATGCTAATTTTGAATGAGAGCTAGAAGTTGCTCCTGTCTTCACTTCAGCATTTAAGTTTTTTATTCTCTTTTTCATGTTTACCAAGAAAACCGAAAGGCTCTATTTCTGTATCCTTCATACCAGTATGAGTAAACATTGACAGAGTTGGAACAGTGGCTATTTACTGTGGTAATTTTACCATCAGTGTTCGCACAAACCCATCTGAGCCTGCAGCTGAAACATTTTCTGTGATATATTTTAAGAAAGTTCCCATTGCTTATTTACATTTTTAGCAAAAGTTGGTGAAGTCCATATACTCTATAAAGTGTGCATGCCAGTAATCAATGACAGGAAGATATTTGTGGAAATTAAAAATCTACGGCGGTGGTTCCCAGTAAGGCACAACAAATAAACTGCTTTATTATTATAGCAGTACTAGAATTAGAACATTGCAATTCAGGACAATGTGAACCCAACCATTACCAAACAGCTACTTCAATCTAGTCTTTCTCATTGTGTGAAGTTGGATCTGATCTCAGAACACGTTCAAATTCACACATGAAAAATTGATAAACAGCAGTGTGTTCTATGTAACATGGTAAAAGTATCCTTAGACAGTGAACTAGGTATATACTAATGGATCAAACTGACCGTAAAAACATGACAAAGTTACACAAATACACTAACTTTTGTTACCATGAGAATCTTTAGTCCAGTTTTCATCCTCGTCAAAGTGTGTATCTCCACCAAGACCTTTTCCAGGGGGGTAGGCATGAGCCAGAAGCCCACCTGGCCCATCAAAAGGATTATGGTCTCCATGTTCTGTCATTTGCATATGAAAATAATGATTGGGATTTAGAAAGAGAATAAACATCCTGTGATTTTTCCACACAGCAAGAATAAATACCTTTTGATCCAAAGCTGATCATGATGTCAGCATTTCCTGTGTACAGTCTCTGAAACTTAAGCGGGGTCACTTTGCTCCAAACACTCAGAGCATTTCTTAAAGCTCTGTCCACATCCTTAGGATTCAAGTCAGCGGTGTAGTTCAAAATCCTGTGTAGGTGTTACTTCAAATATTAATAAAAAAAAAAACCATATCAAGTATTCAAGCATGTTAATAACTAATGACATAACAATTTTGGCTAATACCTATTAACTAGTATCAATACATGTAGCTAACACATTTTTCTGTAGTTTTAATCTGTTTAGGATACATAATTATTGGCCAAACATATACAAGCCATATCACAGAATGGTTGTGATTTCTGTCCCTGGGACTTTATATGTATAAATAAGCATTAAATTATTCATAAATACAATTTATTACTAAGCAAAGTGTACTATATACTATTCCTAATTAAAATATTGATAAAATCCACATAAAACACTGAAAAATAGCACTTATTGCTTGTCCCTAGTCTCCAATGCTATACTTCATCATAAAAATAATGATTAAGATCTTTTAAAAAGAACCTTTCTGTTGCATTGATTTGCAAGTCCATATATAATGTTTGTTTTAAATACATTTGTCTACGCTAAAATCTCGAAGTTTGTCAAAAAACTCTTTCCTGTTACCCTAACCCATCCCCCTCCTAAAACAACAGTGGAAATATCCATGAGTCAGTTTAGTAATTAGTTTAGTGTAGTTCCTAAAAATTCCCATATTTGGTAAGTAATTTAATTTGCAGAATTTTCAAGTTCTTTAGTCATGTGCACCATCTGTCTATTTAGCATACATTTACTAATTCCTTGTTAAAAACTCAATCTAGTTACTTTGAGTTCAGTTACTTAAATATAAAATAATAAAAGGTTTAGTTACAAGAAAAAAAAACGCTCCCATCTTTTGATTATAAATGTAAAAAAACATTTAAATAAGTTACTTAAGACGGACCAATACCCATTTGTTATACTTAAGTATGTATGCTATTGGAATCTGTTTTGAAACAAATAAAAAAGGATATTTGAAAAGCTGTTTTGGTGCTCAATTTTCCTCATTAGCACATCCAAAGCATTTTCAAATTCTCAATTAATTAATATGAAACACAAACCTGAAGGTCACATTTGTAGACTCCCACTTCAGATCTCGAGGGAAGTGATTATACTCAGCCACATCCGGAACCCCACAGCGAGCCATCTCCATCACCTTTACTGTATTGTCATCGAGGTTTCCCGTCACTTCCAACCTAAAAAACTCTTGCATCTCCCGGATCTTCTGATGCATGAGATCAGATGCCTTTCCTTCTCCTTGAAGACCAACTGGCATCCTATAAAACCTTCGAAGATATTTCTAAAGAGGGGTGAAAATTCTCAGTAATTAAAAAGAAGGTAGAATAATAAAACTAATTACAATATCTCTTCCTACCTCTGCTAATAAAACCTTATTGGTCTCCTCTGTTGAGAGAGGTTTTCCCAAAGCTTGTGCAGAGATCAGCAACAGCATCACCACTGTGAGATCCATGTTGGGCAGATTATGTTCTGTTCTTCCTTGGAGTGGGCTCTTTATAGTCTTCAGTTGAGCCGGAAACTTTGATTCCTGTAAAAAGTACCTTGGCATGTCCTACACTTCCTCTAAATGCTTAGGCAGCAGAATGTGGTTAAAAACTGCTTTTAAGACACCTGAGTGGGTAATGATATCACTGCTGGGGCACTGCCAGCTCCAGTAATGAAAGGTTATATTTAGGGTCATGTTAGGATCTCATGCTTATTTGTAGTTTATTTATTTTGAGTAAAATACACAATAAACCTATTTTTATAGATCACTTAATTTCATAAGCTCAGATTGTTTTTTTTTTTCAGTTCCATGGAGATGGTTATGAATCATGCCCATTCAGTTTCTTAGTAAGACCTAGCAGGCGTATAACTTAAAACCTGAGCAGACACCAAATAGAAAATTCAAATGAAGTTTAAGAGTGAGTATAGTCGATCAAGGTGATAGATGAACCCACAAAAACAAGCACATTTTGACTAATAAATAATTGGATCAGACAATTTGAGCTGGTAATGATGGTCTTCCACTATAAACTTATAAGTTATTGGTATAAAGGTCAAGTTTCGGCAAGTGGTGGCACTGGAGTGTTTGAGTTAGAGGCCACTAGATGTCCCGGTGTTAGATTCTTGTCTAGTAGTGCACCAAGTTTGATAACTTTGTCTGTCTTAAAGTACACGTCTGTAATTTAAGTGATGGAAGAAGAATATACAATAAACATTTGCAAACCCTCAATTCTTGACCCCGAAGAACTTAATATGTGTAAGAACTTACCAAATGGGCCTAGATGTTTGCTCAAGTAATTCATGATTCGACAGAAAATGCCCGGGGCGCATTGCACAGCTGTTAGGGGATTTTTCTGGAGTTTGCAGCGTCATCAGATGAAAAACAGTCAATTTCATGGGAAAAACAGTGTTTGGGATAAGCTGTGTTTTGGATTTTAAACTGTATTACAAACCTATATTTTCTGATAATTACTAAACCTAAAAGA